ATACAACTGCAACAAAAGTAACAAAAACAATTATGTTAAAGAACTATGATACTGCACTGATATTTTCAGACTTTGTTCTTTACTTTCTCCGTCTTTATATGTAGAAGATATTAAGTTTTCTCCGTCATGTTATTTCCATAGCAACAACAACTTCCTGTCAACTCGCCTTCAAAATAAAAGCATCTAAATAAACCAGGAAGTTAACCTAAATTACATTTAAGACATACAACTGTAACGAAAGTAACAAAAACTATGTAATATCCCTTTTCAGTTTCACAGAACACAAATTGGGTTGTATACATAATATGTTTACATGATTTTGTTGTGCAATAAAACAACCAGATGGACACACGATAAAGGAAATGTTCAAATTCGGCTCTGATCGTAACAACATCGGGCCATTCGTGAGGGCATCTTAAGCCATCTGTTACCATTATTGTGTTATGTCGGTTATGTCACGTTTTGTATGTCTTGTTTTGGGTGTTTTGCTGTTCTCCCTGTCATGTTTTCCTCTTGGTATATTGTCTGGTCCTTTTCCCTGTGTTTTTCCTCCTGTCGTTAGTTTCCCTGGTGTGTCTATAGTTGTCTGATTGTGTTCACCTGTGGCCCTTGTGTTTCTCCTCCCCTGCCCGGCTGTTTCTCGTCTTGTGATTACCCCTCCCTGTATTTAGTCTTGTCTCTTCCTGTGTTCAGTGTTGGTTCGTCTTTTGTTTGTAACTGAGTTCACCGGTGAGTGTTCTGTTTTGTCCAAGTTATTATTTTATCCTTGAAATAAAGGCAATATCAGTGTAATCTACATTTGGGTCCTGCTTCCTTCACTCAACCGTAACAGTAAGAACCAACCAAATATGGGCCCATCAGATCCTTTTGAGCGGGAATTGTTGGATTTGACCTTTTCTTTGGCTACCTGCTCTGATCGATGGATGGGAGCGTCGGGGGTTCAGCAGAGAGAGGCTGCTCTGGCAGAGGCGGGCCAGATACAGTTGCAAGAAAAGTATGTGAACCCTTTGGTAGGGTCTGTGAAGGTTCTTATAACCGACTTGACTTTTGTCAAAAAATTCTCTACCAGGTATTTAAGGAGGGATGGGCAACACGATCCAGACTATACGTTGATATCTAGTTTGGCGCGCAAACCCAACTCCAAGTTGAACGAGCGGTTGTCCTCCCAGTTTGGTCAGATATTTAGAGTCCAATGTGAATGAAAAGGTGGACGTGAGCACCTTACAAATGACCACACAAAGTTGATTTTTGTGAGTTTTGTGATATGTAGGACGAAACCACACCAAATTCGAAGTTCGGTCTGACACAGAGACAGATAACAAACACTGGATCATGACTTCTAGTCTTGTGTAAATAACTGTTAGAATACGTCTTTAGTGNTTCTCCCTGTCATGTTTTCCTCTTGGTATATTGTCTGGTCCTTTTCCCTGTGTTTTTCCTCCTGTCGTTAGTTTCCCTGGTGTGTCTATAGTTGTCTGATTGTGTTCACCTGTGGCCCTTGTGTTTCTCCTCCCCTGCCCGGCTGTTTCTCGTCTTGTGATTACCCCTCCCTGTATTTAGTCTTGTCTCTTCCTGTGTTCAGTGTTGGTTCGCCTTTTGTTTGTGACTAAGTTCACCGGTGAGTGTTCTGTTTTGTCAAAGTTATTATTTTATCCTTGAAATAAAGGCAATATCAGTGTAATCTGCATTTGGGTCCTGCTTGCTTCACCCACCTTAACACCATCGTATGACCGCCGGTGGAGTTTCTCAGTCTCCGGCGGCAACTTCGCGAGCGGCGGCAAAATCTTTGGCATGCCAAAAGATCGCCAAAGGACCTTGCGAAGGTTCATTTTCGTGTTGAATTTGTGTGTCCTTTTTGCCCTTCGCAAGGCACCCGTGAGGGCATCTTGTCAAATCGTGTCTTCTTCGTCTGATCATCGGTTCCATCGGGCATTTTTCGCCCCGATGGAACCGATGATCAGACGAAGATGACATGATTTGACAAGATTTCGGGACAGTGTGACAGGGGCTTTACAAATTCCCTAATTCTGGTCAAATATATTTCAAAATAAGTTTTCCCAGCTAAATAAAAGATCTCATCTAATTATCCCATATTTACTTCAAGAAATGTTACCAAGCCATTTTGTACTTGCTCTATGGCAGATTTGTTCACATAAAAAAACACCTTGTTTTTATTATATATTTACTCATTTTTGACATTTCTTCCTGTGTGTCAATGTTCTATTCTGTAGAATAGGCTACATTAATCAGGGCTGAACATTGTAAAGGAAAACCTAGCAAGCCAGATAACAGTTCAATCAGGAGAGACTTCATTTTGGCGGGGCGTGTGGCGTAGTGGGTTGTCAGTAGATGTTCGGATCACGGGGTCACAGGTTCAAACCCCACTGCAGTCAGCATGACGTGTCCCTGGGCAAGACACTTCACCCCAAATTGCTCCTGTGGGGATTGTCCACAGTATTGAGTATGTAAGTCGCTTTGGCTAAAAGCGTCGAACAAGTAACATGTCATGTAATGTGCAAATTCATGGGCTTGTCTGGAGGAAAGGGCTGACGACAACGAGGGGGAAGAGAAGGGGCTGCAGGGGAAGGGTGATTCTCAGACACAACATAGCCTGGTGTACAACTTAAATTACAATATACTTAAAGGTTATAATATTAATTTTTGTTGCCCCACATGCCCAAAATAAACTGCCTCCTCCAGAGGAAGATGTGGCAAGAAAACATCATTGCACAGTCTGCTAAGTAAAAGCCATTCAAGGTTATGTCGATGCAGAACATCGTTTCTGTGCAATCCATTTCTCTTCTGTAATCAACATCTTCAATAAAATATAAGCTGTGATTTGTGTTCTTGGCTCCGCGGCAGTTACCTCTTCATAATGCAGATCATTTCATAGCATTTTCGGTTCATGGTTTCTGTGCCTTTTGTGCATTACACTAGACTGGATTCGCTCTCTTGTGTTAAATGGCCCTTGTCCTTTGCCAAGATAAGAACAAATAAACAGGCTATTGTTAGCACATGATTCTGACACTGGAGCAGAATGACGCATTGGAGTAAGGCCATGGCCAAAACACAAAGGAACTAGAAGGGAAGAGGCAGAGAATTGGGGTGAGTGCAAAGAAAAATACATTGATTGAATCAAATAACCTGGATGTCTGAAGAAAGGAAAGCAATCATGAGGTAAAGTAGCTCATCATAAGTCCTCAGGATACCTGAGATGAAGTGTGTGTGTGTGTGTGTGTGTGTGTGTGTGTGTGTGTGTGTGTGTGTGTGTGTGCGCTCACCAGATCGTTCTGAGTGCTTCAAAAACCAGATTGAAACTTCCAAACTGATGCAATATCTGCGGTGCTCTCAGGTCCCTGCAAGTTATACATTATTGGCCACTTGAAATGTCATCATACAAGCTATTTGCTTTATTGTAAAAAAAAAATAGAGAGTTTGAATTATATGACAAATATAAATTGAATATTCTACAGCGGTAGAAACAAACAAAATCAAGCTCTTCGATACTGACGGGGCTGGAGAAAGAGAAGACATTACCAAAAAAGGAATTTCTTTTAACCATAAATATTTGTCAACCCATGAAATTGGCTGGACCGTGAATGCCCGATGTAAATGATACACATCATTTCCACTGCATCAAACATTCAGTGTCTTCCAGGGATGAACATTTTGTTAAGGATAAAGTGACCAGTCGGAGAAACGTTGCATTGACTCATATCAACAACTCCGTATGGTGGATCAAATGGGACACAGTTGCAAAAAGAGGACATTCTTAGCCTTCCAATGATATCCTTATTGTTTTTGTTCTTAAAATATTCAGCAAAATATGTCACAAAATGCAATGACTGTTACCAAGACAAGATTTTGAGGAAGATGCCTTTAAAGTTTGCTGATATTGTTTTTCCTTAGGTATTTAAATGCCTCCCCAGTTAAGTTGCTCCGGTCGCCACTCGTCAACGTTGTATTAATCATCTGAATCTGGCAATATAATTTTAATATTCTAAAAGCAAAGACTTCATTTTTATTTTAAGGTTAAATGGAAACCCCGCCCCAGACCCTGCCGTTTTAATTAGAGCCTGTCATCCATTATTTTGAGAGGCGTTTGGAGCAAGGTGATCAGACTGAGAGAAGAAGGTGAACTCTGAAGGGGACACCTTGTCTTTTACAGCTTCAAACATGCAATCATCATCTGAACAAGACAAAAAAAATTGATATTCGGGAAGCAATTCAACGAAAATACAGAAATGACCAAAACACAGAAAGTTATTTACATAAATCCACCTTTTATCTCGAGATGCGCCGTTGCGGTCCGACTGATTCCGATAAAGCGGAACTCTTTTTGCCAATGACACGCAACGACTTCCCAAGAAAATGGCAGCTTCAGTGATTTGCTCAATAAAAACATATGTTTATGTTCAAATCGCTAACCTTGTTATTGTTGTTCCTGAACCTACCTTTCCAAAGCCATATCAGAATATTTTTTGCAGATGTTATTTTTAACAGAAGTATCGGACACATAATGTCACCGTGCCGAGAGCGTCCAATCAGGAAACCCCTTTGAATGTGTTTTTCTGATACAATGTTGTTGTTTGCTTGAAGATAGAATAGAAACGGTTGACTGGTGCCAAATTCTCTTCACCAAAGTTAGGGTTAGGGTTTTCCTTCTGTGATTTCATATACTCGATGAGTCTGGCTCTGAACTGCTCCCTCCTCCAACCTCTTTGAAACTTTTCTCATAAAGCAATGAGAGCTGCTAATAACTTAATTCAGATCCCATTAAGATTTAATCAAGGCTGGCGGAAGAGAACATTTGACAAAAGAACTGTCCAGAAAACTGCAGAAAACTTGTATTCGTCTATTTCAGGCCTTTCACCCTTAATTAAGGTCCTATTAGCAAAGGACAATTCTAGAATCCTCAAGCTGAATGTATATGAAGTAAAGCTTTGTTCTTGCTCATGTTCTTTAAAAATATGAGAAAATTAATCGCAGTTAAACGGACAAAACATTTTTAATGAAACACCAAATGCACAATTTTAATTACACATGTCCTCAGTCAGCAAAACTGATAAAGAGAGAGGTAGATGAAAGTAAAGAAAGAAAGGAGAGATGAAAGACACGGTCACAGTTTATGGCATAGAGATGTTCTAAGGTACAAAGCAACGTTATCCAATGACATAAATAGGACAGTCTCAACACAATTTGATGCCTTAAGTGTTGCACCGCTTCACTTTTGCTGCGGGGGGTGTGATTAGCAGCTTGATGTCACAGCAGTTCATGCTATTCACCACCTCTGTGTGTGTGTGTGTGTGTGTGTGTGTGTGTGTGTGTGTGTGTGTGTGTGTGTGTGTGTGTTTTATTTCTTCAACCTTTAAAGCTATTACTGCACCCCGTGTCAGTCCTTTACTCAACAAGGCATTTACCGGTGTAACAGGCAGCGATCCAGCGAGCCGACCACTATCCTGTTATCAATTCCTAAAACTGTTATACAGATATTCATGGTACAGCCAGTTTGATATATCGCATTTCCAGGTCAGCTCCCTTACATTGCAACCATGTTTGACTAACCTTTAGTGGTATCTAGACATGTTTAATTTGTCTTGGTTTTGAGATTTCTGTTTCGTGTGTGTCTCACAGGTTTACACTGATTTACGGTTAGCAGTAACACACCTAAACACACATCAACGTGCAGGTTTTATCAAGAAAGAAAAAGACCACTGGGACACCGCGGTAACTCCCGTGGTAGATTGCATGCACCGTATATCTGATAAAGCAGAAATGGCAGATTATATTGTCAAAGAAACAGTCTGCTAGTAAATAAACGTAGATGTAAACAATGTAGGATTAAAGTAAAAAACAATCCGGTTTGCAGATGGATTTTATAAGCCAATTTTTAAGGCTTCAAAGAGACAGTGTTTTTTTTGGGGGACTTTGTTTACAAGAAAAATCCACAGAGCTAAAGTGGCATACTTCTTAAATCCGCATGAAAACATGTCAACTTCTTCCTGCAAACACTACCCCACTGTTGACTGAGGATAATATCTAATTAACGATTGATTAGTTTGGGTAAAATTATCCCCAGACACAGCAGGCAGAAAAAGACTATTATGAACAGTGCCAGACTGAATGATGAGGTGAAATTGAGATGGCTAGGACACTGGTTTTGGAAATTATTAAATCCTCTGAGAACCATAACGACAATTGCATTCATCAAAATTAGAGAAACGTTATCTCAACACCAGGTCAAATGAATCCTCATGATTAGAAACCACTTGAGGCGAAGGAGAAATTCAGTTTTTTTGGTTTATTAGGGGTAACTGACCCTTAAAAGTTCCTTTGAATTATGAAAACTAGCTTGTTTAGGACAACCTCATCTAGCTTTGGAAATCTGTTACATGTTTTTTCATACCTTCCTGCCGGTAATAACAATATCACAGTTCATAAGAAAAATAAAAACACTCATTATAAGGTAGGTTTAAGATGATCTGATTAATATACTATTTCATTCAAATCGCCTGTATGACTGCACGCACGAACAACTGCTGCTAAAGTACACATCATCACAGACTGCAGAAGATGATGGTGACAGTATCCTGCAAAGACGAGAATTGTCAGAATCTCCGATACAGTATTTTCCTTCTTTATCATTAAGAAAGAAAGAGAAGCAAATAAACTCCTTACACTGATATGTCCTGCTGGGTTATGGTCTTGAGCCAATGCTAGACGCGACTGTGACTTGCAGCTCAATCATTTATGGTATGACTTGCGTGTAATGATGCACTGCTTCAATGAGATTTTTTTAATGATAACCAGCCGGAGGCTATTAAAACATGGCTCTTCCCCCGGAGGCTTCTCTCCGTCACCGCTCGTTCCACCTGCCATCGTCAGCATGAGCTCATTGGTCGAAGCATTGATCCTAAAGCCCCTGTGCTTTGGTGGTACGAGGAGAATACTGCACAATGAAAGAAGTAGTGTGCAGACCAGATCAGTTTATCCACCATACAAACAGTGGCTTTTGTAAGGGATTAACCAACACTGTGTCTACTGCAGAATTAATCAGAAGCTGTGTGTGTTTCGCATCCTATAGGAAGGACAAATCAATAATATTTCCCTGCTGATACTAGCCTTCAAAGGCTGGTCATAGCGGTTGTTTCATCCTCCCTTTCTTCGACTTGAAAGTAGGTTTGTGATGTTTTGCTTCTGTGCTGCCCAGAAAAACCGAGAACGTCCCTGCCCATGGTAATGATGTCTTTGTTATCAGCTGACGGACCATATATTCTCTCACCGGAATGCCTCCTCAAAGGCAGGAAACCTATTTCCACAGACTCGATTCCCAAAGGTAATGATCCTGCGTTCTCATTGACGGAGTGTCTTCTTGTGGGCAGGAAGTCCGCTCTTTCTACAGAGAGCTGTGGTATTTGGAGCTGGCACGGGAACAAGGAGCTGTCACACACGCTGGGACTGGAGCGACACCAGTCTGAGATGCTGTGGTCAGATCCCACTCGGCCGTCTGAACTGTCTCCGACCATCTGCCCGAGCCCATGGCCTCGAGCCAAGCTCAACAGCCTTGGGACCGCAACAATGGATGCAGACGCCGCCACAGCAGCTGCGGCAATATGGCGGCGCTCAGCAGAAGTCCCTTTCGAGTCTGTGATCACCGTGGAAGGAGACGCCACCGCCGCTGAGCTGGAGAACGTGGAGGAGCCGAAGAAAGACGCCACTTTCTGGTAGTATCGCGTCCGCATCCCTTTGGCCGAGCGGTACAGATCCCCGATGAAACAGTAGCAGATGGGGTTCAGGCTGGAGTTTGTCAGGCCGAGCCACTGAGCAAACGGCCGCGTCTGCAGGAGCCAAGATGGTGGCCTTTGTTCGCAGTCGATCCAAAGGTCAGCCAAGTAGAGCGGCAGCCACGACACGGCGAATAACAGCACCAGGCATACCACCATCTTGGCGATCTTCTGGCGCATCTTGAGGCGTGAGGCGTGCAGAGCTTTGCTGCGAGGATCCAGATCAGCGAACGTGGATTTTTTTCCTCCCCAAAGCCGCCTGCCAGTCAGGAAGCCTATAGTGAGGTTAAATGTCACAGGCAGACAGTAGAGCATCACGAACAGCAGCACGTTGTATCTGAGGAAGAAAAGTGAAAAAACATGTAGGGAAAGCTCTTTAAAAACAATAAATATTCATAAATGAAGTCGGTTCTCTCTATTTCTACTTCTGATATCTATCTGTATATGTGGTAAAACACTTAAGGTGTAGTTATTTTCCGTTGCTGAATATGCTCTAAATGGATGATGAGTCAAGAATATCTAATAAAAAGGACAACATCCTTCCTTTGAAGTTATGGATCGCAGCTTAATTAAACTCATTGGTATTTTTGAAAGGAGCTCATTTGTTTTCATTGATTTAACAATGAGCTCCTTTCAGAACCATGCATGTGCTTCTCTTTTCACCAACAAGATACAAGGGTCAATATGACAGTATTGTAAACAACAGCATTGTCTTGAAACTGCCATAAGGTTCAAGGGTGTCTGTGGATAATCAACACTATTCCCACAGTGGCCAGCACACAGTTGCAAAGTGAGTGGGAGACAATAGAGATGACTCATAATTAGGGAAAACAACACGGGAACATTCTGACAAAAGGTCTCGAAACCTGTTTGAATTAAAATAGCACTGAAAAGCAAAGAAAATTGGTTGTGGACCCAACTGATTACATGTTGACATTAAGTTACTTTAAATTGGAAAGGCTAAAGACAACAGACAGACAAACTCCACGTATCACGTTTGTGATCCAAAAAACCATCACAGAAAAGATCTACTTGATAAAAGTCTAATAGTATCCTCAAAACACCAAAGAACATATTGCTGGGTAAAAGTTGCATCTAGCTGAGTAAAGTCAAATATGTTTGCTTTGGTTTCGATGAAGAAAAGGAATGAGAAATGTAATGCGACAGATCACTGATTTGTTTTACCGAGCAGCTCATCAGTGAGCACTCTCCTAGTGACAGCGGTCCTCAGATTCCACATGCTAAATTGGCCATTGAGAGAACTGCTGGACACACAAGAACTGCTAATGCTTGATGGAGTAACTTTGGCCAAGTTGCATCTAATGACTCACTGTAAACTGAGTGTGTCAGGCTGCATCATGGTTTGTAAGTAGACAAAAGATCTCAAATTGGTTGGAGGCCAGAGCGGCTGAGACTAGATCACAGACTAGACTTGAGTCTGTTGGAGAACCTACCCTTGTTTAAGGCGATGCTGAGGCCACTTCTCCTCACAGACCAAGATGGCAAACGTCCCAAAGCTGATCTCCCGGCGCCGGTTCATCACGGCTATAGGAGCGCACATGATCGAAGACACCGTCCACACCACGGCGACGGTTGCCAAGATTCGACTGCGGGTAAACATGGAGCGGGCTCTCAGTGGAGAGCGGACACTGTAGTAGCGATTCACGCTGATCACAGTTAGCGTCAACACACTAGCAGAGACCGAAACAGCCTGCGTGAAGGGCACCGCCCGGCAGAGCAGGTCCCCGTAGACCCAGGCCGAGTAGATCTGGCTCCCCAGGGTGATGGGCATGCAGACCAGCACCACAGCCAGGTCGCACACCGCCAGGTTCACCAGGAGGCTGCGCGTGGCGCTGACGCCCGCCAGCTGCCGGCTGCGCCTGTTGGTGAGGACGCGCAGGGACATCAAATTCCCAACAAATCCCAGAATGAAAGACAGGCAGTACATGACAGTCAGAGCGATGGTGCTGGGCTCGTGCAGAGTCCAGAGGAGCATGCTCTCCAGATTAGCCAAGTCCTTCAAAGAAAAGGTGGAGGACAAGGGATCATGGTCAAAAGTGGGCGTCTGTTGAGAGGATGAGCGTAAAGGGGTGAGGATTAAAGCGGGGTTGAGGAGAGAGGAAGGCAGCAGAGAGGGGAGAGGTGGATTGAGGGAGGCAGTGGGGGAATTTAAAGTGGAGGGAAGCATTATGGAGCTGTGGAAGCTTAAGGTGTGGTTGAGTACTTCCCGAGACTCATCGTACTGCAGTAACGGAGAGAAGCTGGGCTGGACTGAGCTCCAGTCTGTGGGCTGGACCCGGGACATATCCATGCTGCCTTGCCCGTGGAGGAAAAGGTTTGAGAGGTATGAAAATCCCTCGACTGTAAGGCTTACTGTAGTGGCTTCCCTTGGTCCTCATTCAAATCCATACAGGAAGTCCGCAGAGGAGAACAAAATCCAAAAAGGCCTTATGTCAAAATAAATAAATACAGGTTCCAGTCATGTGGTACGCAGGTCCGTATGTTGTGTGAGGATAAACATATTTGTAAAAGGATGGAAATCATGGTCCCCCATGTTTTGTTGCATCCTATGAGTCAGCTGGAGTCATGATGGTGCTGCACTGGTCCCAGTGCAGTCTGCATGTAACACATGCACATTCAATCCTCCAGGGAGTGGCTGTCTGAACCAGATAATCCCTCTCCAGCTGTTAATAGACTTCTCACCTTCGAGAAAACAAAAATACCTTTCTCTCTCGTCCTCCTCCTCCTCACACCTTTAGTCCTTCACAGGTCTGCAATCAGATCTGTTTAGAGAAAACATCACATCAATCAGAGGATGGTTTACACCCTTCAGCTGTATTAATATCTCTGTACAGTAGCAGCATAGTCAACAGATAACAACACATTCCTGGATCGAAAAACACTGAAAAGCTTTTAACATCTCCTCATAGTGTGTTTGTATCACAGCCTCTCCCAGTAGGTGGTAGAAAACACTCAGTAAGGGACAAAGTGAGAAAGGAAAGGATTGTATATTTGTATAAGGGCACATGGTAAAGCAACTGGTTTGCAGCATTGAATTAATGTAAATTATTCATTGAATAAGCGCATCTAGCAGGATGTTAATTCTCATTTTGCATATGGACAAAGAGAGCCAGCCAAGATAAAACGATTGCCATTAAAAGGAGGTTTAAGTACAACATGGCAGGACAGAAACTTAAATATGTCATGCAATATTATATTTGAATTGTAAGTAAATTAAAAGGAAAGAGCTGCTTGTTAAAATAATGATCTTACCCTCAGAGAAAAGCAAATCCAGTTACTGTTTACTGCTCGATCCTCTTCAAAGCTGACAGCCTGGAGATGTTGAATAAAGCAGCCAGGTGCTGCCTGGAGATCTGCACCAAAAAGATTAATAAAAGTTGATGCCCGTGAATCACTCACAGCAGCAGATACACGCGCGCTGCTAATAATCCGTCTCTGAGTCTCACAGCTACAGAGGGGTTTGTTGTTGGAAGAGCGCTTTGTGTTTCCGACAGCTTTTATTTTTCTCTAACGGGGTCCTCACATGCCTGCGCTCCTGCCAACGGGATCTCCGAGCCTCCGCAGGACTGAGATGGGAGAGGAGTAAAGTGAGGGAGGAGGGAGGGAGGGAGCAGCTGCCACACACACACACACACACACACACACACACACACACACACACACACACACACACACACACACACACACACACACATACACATACACATACACATACACACATACACAGTCGCATACAGACAAAAACACACACACACTCACACAAACACACACACAGTCACACACACACACACTCACACAAACACACACACAGTCACACACACACACACACACACACACACACACACACACACACATACACACATACACAGTCGCATACAGACAAACACACTCACACAAACACACACACACACACACACACACACACACACACACACACACACACACACACACACACACACACACACACACACACACACACACACGTACACAGTCGCATACACACACACGCTCTGCCGCGCAGCTCCTTTGGCACCCTTTACAAACCTGTAATCAATCAAAAAAGTGTATGTCACTCCGCAGGCTTCCCCCTATTTATTCATGTTTCCCCTACAACATATTGTAATTGACGGTTTTCTCCTTTCTTGATGATCAGAAATAAGAGGATAAGTGGATTACCTCTCCTCTGATTGATGATAGCAGACAAATAGCTTATTGATTGGTGCTTATTTCCCTGTCTTCTCTTTGACAACAACGAGAACTTGTGACAATATCGATGGAGTGCATACAATATTATATCACAGTAGAAATATTCCTATCTGGTCTCAGTGAACACATCCCTTTATGAATAAATGATGGGACAGGAAGATACATTTTGTAGGAAAGACACAAACATGTGTATAAAAGTATGTTTTATGTATTGACAATGATATTTACTCACTGCAGCCATATTCATCCTAACTTTGCTACGTGCTATTTCTTCATCGTTATACCTCTACATAACATCTCAGTATAACCTGCTGCCGGGGCCCCATAGGGCAAAGATGGTGCCTGGCCCCTATTGACTCACTTTATGACACTTCATTATTTCCCAAGACACAGTCAGTGTCAGAGTCCGGAGGACACCTACTCGATGCTGGAGTAATAGTCTTGCCCTATTTCTTTCTGTGTCTATTACTTTAAAGCAATATATTAAACTCAACTTAATTTAGGAATATATGAGCAGGATATAAAGTGAAATAATGTAGATATTAAAGGTATATTTTGACTGCAGAAATACACAGGAAAAAGATGAAAACATCCGTATTAAAAATTGAAAAAAGCTTGTGCTTGTTGGTATTGTGCTGAAAAATAAAATGAAAAAATGTGCATGACCAACTGATCTGGGTTCAACCTTTTATTCAAGTGTTTGACACCTTTAGATACCAAATAAATGATATCTTATAACATACTATGTTTTAAAAAATACATTAAAACTACCCAACTCAATCAAACTCACTCAGCCATCACCAGAACATTGAAATGCTGCAATGGTAATTAGATGAATTAGTAAAAAATAAGTAAATATTTATTTATTGTATTCACTTCAGTGTATACTTCCAATTCAAACCAATGTATAAGTTTTGTTTTTGGTACTTTCAGTTGATTTAGTACTTTTGTACGTCCTCTTATATGCTAAATAATGAATTACAGTACTTTGATATGTCAGGTATTGCTTGATTATAGTGTTTCTACATTAAAGGTCACCTATTGTGCAAAATTCACTTTTCCATGTCTTTTCTAAATAAGCATATGTCCCCTCTGTGTAAAGAGACTCTGAAAGCTTCAGGAAAAAAGATTCTCTCTCCTTTTGTCCTGATCCATTTCTATAAAAACCTGTCTGAAAATGAGCTGATCCGATTTTGGCCACTTTATGATGTCATAATGATGTTTTGGCTTGTGTAACCATTAGCCAATCACCAA